GCGCCCATAGAACCCGATAAACACCGTTTTCGTAGGAAAACATGCAGGTTGTAGGGACTACTGAGTGGGGCTACATAAGCTACTGTTGCCAACTTAAATTTTAAATGTAGAGTTAGGCTGTTCATGCAAAAAACCAAGTGAATAAAGTAGCCCAAGTAGACTTACGTTTAAAAATAGTGCGTCGGTTACATTTCGGATAAATATGCTTCCACAGAGCGCGCGATTTTAAGCATCGTATATTGCGGAGTCAGAAGAGCATTGTAACGCAGAGAGCACATGGCACGCAAAACTAGTCAGGTACCTATGCTATCCGTACGGAGGATCTTGCGACACGTGTATATTAAATGACTGTTTTTGCTCGTTAAGGAAGATAACGCGGTTATCCCGCCGCAGCTGATTGATTGCGCCTCACCTATAGGGTGTCGCAAAATTACTTGCCCATGTTAAAAGTTAGATAATTTATTCAAAATTAAAATTCGGCAGTAATTTTAATCTATTCCTCGTCCTCGTTGGTTGGTTGGTTGGTTGGTGATTTATTTGTAAACAAACTGTGTCAAGTGTTGTGGGGGTCCAAGTAGCAGTTGGGCTGAAATCACTACAATCATCAGGTCGAATCCCAGGTTATTGGTAAAAGGTAGAAGTCACCAGAGTGAGGGCTTTATTGTGCTCAGAACCCTGCATTGCTGTCGCAGGCAGCAGTAGACGCTGGCGAAGTCAGGGCTGATGTTGACTGTGTCCAGGCGTGCTCGAGAGTGAGTGACTGTGTGTTGATAGAGAGATATGGCGATGACAGTTGATGTTACGGGATTGTGAAGAGAATTCAAGTGGTGGGTGCTTAGTTTGTTACCTTTCCCGAAGGAGATGTCGCATGTAGAGGCCTCTGCTCCATCGGCGGAGGGGTGGCGTGTTTATGTGGCTCTGAGGAAACCACAACTGTTGGGCACGCGTGTGTGCGCTCGTGTGTGTGATTGGTTAGGTCAAAGAGCCAGCCAGGGAGACATTGACATAAGGGACAATGCATGATAAGGCAGAGTTGCCGATGCGCGCAAGATAGTGTTGTTTGCATGCGTGGCCGTGAATAAGCTGGTGTCCCGTCTGGGGACTGCTGTGTTTTGGCGGAACGCCTGTTAGTCAGCGGGATGGTCTCGGCCGTCAGGATGCCAGAACAAGGGAACAGTGAAGCCGTTGCTATCGGTAGGCCAAAGAAGGGGACAGCATTGTTGGCAGTCTGCCACACTGTACAGTACAGCAGTACAGACATAGCAGAAAACTCTAAACATGCAAATGCAGTGTCTGGGATACCGATGGCACGAAACTCGGAGGAGAGAGGTCGAGCTATATACATGATAGAGGCCAAGATTAAGCGAGTGGAGGTTTCTAAGGCTGTAGGGGCATTTATCGGGACGGCTCAGTATTGGTGATCACAGTACAACCGGACAAATACCCGTCCATCCATGGTCAGGATGTGAAGTGTAGACACTCAATCGCCGTATGAACTCTTCCAATCTGCCAAACTCAAAAAATTGGTCTTTTGATCTCCAAGTCGTTACATGTTTGAATATTTTGAAGTTCCAACGTTTAGCCCTACACTTCTGGTGTGGGGAGTAATGCCCTTTGGAGGGCTCTCAGGCCTTGACGAGTGAATGGCGAATATTACAGAGAGGAGATCCTAAAGCAAAACCTGTTAAAAAGATTGGAAAAAATCGTGTGAGCAGGTAAAATTTGAGGACAAACTTGTTTCAGACATGTCAAGGATCATTTTTCTGCAGGACAGAGTCACAGCTCTGGAGACCCAAAAGTTGCTGTCAGAGAAAAATCCATATTTCTTGAGGAAAGACATGTGGCCAGCAAATAGTCCTCACTTGAATCCAATTGAACATTTATGGTAAATTGTTGGTAACATGGTTGACGAGAAACTGCCTACTTCCACTAATATTGAAGAAATCCCTGTTTGACGCCTGGCGAAAGACCCCCTTGGAAACTCTCCAGAAGCTCATTCATTCCATGCAAAGTAGGGTACAAGCTGTCCTAAAAGTAACTTGTGAAATGTGTAACAAGCTAGAAACTGTGAGCTTGTTATTGGGGTGCAAATAATTTCGGACCACTCTATGCAACATTTTCTAAGTTGAGCATAGTTAACCTCCTTCCGATTATTTTACTCCAAGTTAGTGACTACCTGCCTTTCCAACGTCAAGTTTTGAAGGAACATTCATACAGAACGCAGTAACGTTTCATTCTAGTTTTTAGAAACTCTGCACAAACAACTGGTCTATAAACCCAGCCCCAAAGAGCCACAAGATGTGCCAACTGTGACAGTTAAACGACTCGCCATAGGGGATAACGATTTTATGGAGGCAGAAGCCCACGGAACATCTGAAAGTAGTGGACCGCAATCTGGGACGATTTCTAGCACTCCACGACAATTAACCCGCCCTAGTTCTTCCGCCCAATCGCCAAAGAAGTCAAGGTAATTTTTCGCAGTCCATTCTCCTTTCTTTGTGTTCGCCAGACTGGCCTCCTTCAAGTCAAGTAAGACGGGTTTTAGGAACTTATAAAAAATTTTAATACCTAGTAGCAAAATCTGCACACGACCCGAGTTAGATAACAGTTCATGGCATTGTGGAAACATGGCAAATCGGTGTAAAACTGCCTTATATCAACCCATATTAATGGTATTGAGCGTGATTAACTTTGCGCTCGATGACATCAGATGCAGACAAAAACCTCTACTACATTCCATTTCCAGTTTTTTCCAATACCAAATTTGCAGTGATAGAGAATGATAAGTGGCGAGGCACTGATGAACTTTGATTTGGAGAAGTGTTTATCACCGACCAACAAAACCCCATTCTGTGAAATATATGAGCCCTGTATGAGCGCCTGTTTATGTTTCCGGTATCAACTGTTGGTTCCGGTTATAATTGGCGAAACGAAAGTGAATAAATCCGAAATAGTACTGTATCAATATATTTGCACTTTCTGTCCTCTAATCCCTCCTCATTGGAATGTCGAAATCAGGCCGAAGATGGCAATCACTCTAGACGACCTGTTTTAGATGCCATCTACTTCAAACAGATACGTTGTTTCGAATGAACATCCAAAAATAATTGAGTAAACTCCTAAAATAAGTTTAAAAGTTACAAAGACGAGTCGACAGGAGATACACAGGAAAGTGTAAAGTGAAGCAAATAAGGTCGCTTCTGCTCACACATTTTTTTCTAGACGCTTCCTGGGTAATACAGGGAATCGCGTTCTGAAATCGTTAATAAAGGCCAGTTTGGAGTCATGGAAGTAAGTTGAAGAGTATATCTTCAATGGAGTTGACTCAAGAACAAGATTTGTACAGACATCGCGTCGTACAAAGATCAAGTTTTAGAGTCCACAATTTGTTTGGGAATTCGTCCGCTTACATAACTGTAGTCAAAAATTGCCGCCATGTTTGACTCCTTTCCCATTTCCTTATTCATTTGAAGTACAACCTGGAAAGTAGTTACGTGAATTTACCGTGGCCGTCAGACATGGGCTATTTTTTTGCAGATAGTTTCCGATTCTCTTGGCGCGTTCTCGCTTGAAAAAGAGAATAACGTTTCCGGTTAGAATGGAAAATACTGGAACTAGTTTTTGTGAAATTCTCTAATGCCGGTGGCTTTTAATATATATACTTATGTACCTCTTATACGTAATTTATTACGCGTATTTATGCTTATTACTGAACTAAAAAACTCAGAAATCGTTACCTTCCTGCGGATACTTTGAGCTTTATAAGTTTTAGTTTGGTTTTTATTAATTTAGTAGGCGTAATTGTGTTTCGTACTGCACTCAAACACTCTGAAATCTTTAACTTCCGGCGGGTACGTTTAGTGGCTAGTTTATTGTCAAGTTTATTACATTAAGTTTAGTAATGTTTTTAGTTAGCTTACCTTTTAATTCAATTTTTTAATCAAGATACGGTTTTTTGTCGGCTTATCGTACTAGAATATCTGCTCAGATAAATATGAAATTATTGTGTTTTAAAAATGCGGAAAAGCCCATTTTTTCATGTTATTACCTAAATCTCCAAGTTTCAATCTATAGTCAATATTGGTTTGTAGCCTATTTGCGGGTACTTTTTGCGGAGATACTGTTTTTCATTGGTTCTCAGTTTACTTGTCGTGCTCAAAAGTTTGGTTCTTTAAATAATTATTTCCTATTATTTTCTGCTCGTATATGTACGCTAAACTTTTAAAGTTATTTTTTTTCCTGTGATATGACCCAAACATAAAAACCCTATAAATACTGCTGCCGTAGGAAAAAACGATGGGGCAAGCGATATCTAAGTACCTTGGCATATAAGAACTTTGCCCTAGTTTTGACGTTGTTGATAAAAAAAATATTGATATCCCAGCACATATTATGAACCTTCTGGCTCCACTAGCCCAGTTAATTCTTGTTTTCTTCGGTAGGTTTGAGACCGTGAAATTGCATCTCACGACCTTAAAGCCTTAATTCTTAAAATTCTCAGCGATAGTTGAAACGTTTTTTTATAAAACTCCATATCGAAATTTGCAGGCTAGATAAAACGCTTGACATGGTAAGACTGCTGCTTTCACGAGGAGCCCGGCCAAATTCCTCAGATCTCCCAATCCCCACCTTGACAATGGCCGTTCAGGCGGGTGACATCTCCCTCACGCATCTCCTCCTTCAGCACGGTGCCAATGCGAATGTGAAACTTCCGCAAGTCGCCCCGGAAAAAATGGGGGTACGTCTTCTGTGACTCTGTAGATTGCGATAACCTACGGATTGCCGTCATCTACCTGTTTTCGTTTGGGCTTATAGCTAACCTCCTCAACCCCGCCACCCAACATGGTACGGGTGGGAAGTAGGAAGGAGTCGCTGCGGCCGGACTTCCATTCCACAGGAGAGTAGAGTTACCCCGTTGAGTGCACAGAACGTTCAAATGTAATCCTGGTTCAAAATTAGGCGTTGATCTCGTGTGCGCAAACTCACAGCCGGTTCTGCTCCACTCGCTCTTCAATCTACCCCCTATCTCTCTCTAGGACCCAGTCACACTGGTGATGATTTCAAGAGCTGTGGTTGACGCGCAAATGATGACCTTAGTACACACCTCATACTCGACACATCCTCTAAAAGATACTAAGAGTAGTAGCAAATTGAGTAAATCCACTGCCATCAGTTGAGGTACACGATAAAGATAAGATCTAGGCCAGGGGTCGGCAACCTTTCTAACTCAGAGAGCCAAGAAAGCAAATATTTGGAAATATCTTTCCGAAGGAGCCATATAGTATATTTTAAAATGATTTGGCCTGATAATTGTAATGATTCGAGTACAACCCACTACTTAGACCCCTAAAGAGTGACCAAAATCATAAAATCATAAAGTTTCTGAAAAAGCCATGCGCGATCATCAAAAGAGCCATGGGTTGCCGACCCCGGATCTAGGCCATAAGTAATGTCTTGTAATTTTTTCGACTAAACATGAAAATGTGTTCGAGAAATGGTTCAGAACCTACAGACGAGGATGAGCGAACACCAACTAGCTGTGAAATACCCTAACTCGACTTCAGCAAATGGGTAGGTCAGGATGTGATTTTTTGCTCGTTGGAACACGTGAATCGAAAGAACAACCAGATGGCTGCGTGAGGTATAGTCGCCAGATGCAGGCGCATTAAATCGCACACGACCAGCTAGCGGACGACAAAATCGCTAGAAGACTAGCCGCCATGTATGTACGTTGTCCTTACACACGGTGTCCCGTATTTGAAAAGAAAACCATTGAGTTAAACAAATACGGGGTTATCAAATTCAAACTCCTTTCCAACACGCTCTATGGTCCAATAATGTGGCATTGTCAAGGTGCTTGAAGAGGAACTTGATTTGCAGTAACTTATAGTGCGCATAAGCGCGCCAACAGAATAACTGTGCCGTAATCCTGCGCAAACGATCTTATGAGTTTTCCTAAAATCAAGAGCTTGCGTCGAAATCCTGTTTCTTTTTCTCCACCATCAGTTTTGGTGTGGTGCTGTTTCTGGGATGTCTTCTGTTAGTGCCTAGAATGGACTACCTCGGGCGTAGCTTCTTCATTCGATACATACGAATAAAAAGTGAGGCAGAAAGCCACCAAACTTAAATTGCTGTAATCACTCGTATACGACCAGAAATTCTCAGAGAACATCAAACGCAATCGCACACTTCTTGGAGTGGACGACGCAAACAGGACGGAGGAAGCATTCAAGCGCCAAGTAATGAGAAAGAAGGACCTGTGGGATACGATGTGGTCCGGCCAGATAATAGGCGATTGAACGTATCCCAACCTTTATAAGCTAGTGAATATGATAAGGCATGGAAGGCCATAGTGTCAGGGAGAATTTACTAAGGTGGAACAAGCGTAGAATGTAAGTAACATGCAAGTGACTTCCAGCCAAGTGCAGTCCAGCCATGAATGGGCCGGAGTCCAGAGGCGCAGTCTGACAAGTAAATCACCGGGTCCGGACGTCTGCAACCGAATAGTAGATCGTCGGTTCCGGGAG